TTTAATGATCATTTGTAGCTGCAGAATATGATTTTTGTAATTGTCTGTTGAATTCATGGCTTTGTGAAATTCTGGTCGATTGTGCATTTGAGTGGGTGTTTATGCGATTTTATATCGTGGTAAAGAGACTTGCATGTAGATTGGGGTGTAGTATAAAAGCATATGGACCAATATGATTATTTTGATTTATTCATCTCTTGTTAATATCGCTATCGGGATTGCAAATTGGATGATGTGGATAAAATACGACTAATGAAATTTGTTGAATTCTTGATGAGGAAAATGAATGAGCAGGTGTACTGGATATTGATTATGGTGAGAAGTGTAAAGCATGGAACAAACATCAACTCAGGTCGTCGTGTACAGACATGAAAGGGAGTTTGAAAATTATGCTCGATTTTTTATCTTGTTCGATATAACTATGCATTTGATGGGACTAACAAAAATGATCAATTGTTATTCTGTCTCGTGGTGTTTGGTGTGTTTTATTTTCGACCTCAGTGGCAGGTCAAAGTGTTCGAGATGTTTAGGAGTTTAAAATCCACACCGAGTGGTCGTCTGTTCGAACGGTTCCATTAGCGGGCCGGGCAGACGTTAATTGGTGGCCCCGAGGCCGAAAAACCCACCTTGAGTGGTCGTCTGTTCGAACGGTTCCATTAACGGGCCGGGCAGATGTTAATTGGTGGCCCCGAGGCCGAAAAACCCACCTTGAGTGGTCATCTGTTCGAATGGTCCCATTAGCGGGCCGAGCAGACGTTAATTGGTGGCCCCGAGGCCGAAAATCCACCATGACTAAGGCCTCCGGGCTGGGTGGTCACATGTAACGACCACTGTTTGTCCCATTTTTGTTGCGTTTTTCGTTGTTATTTTGTCCCTCATATTGAGTCATTTAGATGGTTTTAGGATCATTTTGTCATTTATTATGTGTTTTGCGTTCATTTGAGTGTTGCGATGTTTTCCGTTTGTTTTCCGGTCTTTTTCTGTTCTCTTTTCGTTTTTGGTGTGTAGTTTGAAGACCTTGGGAGAACAGGTTTTCGAGAATCTTGTGGGGAAGCTGACACCATTAGATAGAGGGGTTCGTTAGCGACACGTAGGAAAAAACGGAACTCAATTCTGAGTTAAAACGAACCCAAACGAGCAAAAATCGTAAGATGGTGCAGTGCAGATTTTGGTCTCCGCGGCCGCGACCCTTTCTTCGCCGCGGCCGCGGCGAAGAAAAGCTGCCAGGTCCCAAATTTCTGCACAGATGAGGTCGCGGCCGCGGAGTAAGTCGCGGCCGCGGAGGTCACGATTCAGCCTTTAAAAACCTGTTTCGGCGATTTTTGACAGGAAAGAAGAGAGGGGTGCGATTGGGGGTGCCCTAGCCTGAAAACTTCCTCTCCATTCTCCATCTTCTTCCTCTCCATTCTCCATTTTCTTCTTCCTCCTCTTCTTCATCTTCTTTCTTCTCCATCTTTCTTCTCCATTTTTCTTTCTTTTTTCTTTCTTTTCCATTTTAGGGATTAAGCTTGTATTTTGGATTCAACTTTCGGATTGGATTGATTGTAAGTATTTTTCATCTCGTTTAATTCATGAGAATGATTATTTGGGGTGAATTGCTTTATTGTGTTGAATTCATGCTACTTAGCTAAATCTTATTGCTAGGGATAGGGGATGATTGTTCTCGTTTAACGTGTATTTTTCGGGCTTGATTCGTTTGTTCTTGTGCGAGTAAATTTAATTAGGACTTGATGAATTCTTGCTTGATGAATTGATATAACCTAAGAGTGACACTTAGGTTAATTTATTGATATAATCGAAGAG